TCCTTTCTTTTTTCTTTCTCCTCTCTCTCTTTCTCTTTCTTTCAGCCTCAATAAATTGTTTGCCTCCTGAAAATGTTAATTCACTATTTAACTAGATGGCATCACTCTGTTAGCTACCAGATGATCTGCTCCTAGATGGAGCCTCTCCATCACGGGTGATTGTTCTCGGGTAGCCTCCAGGCTGCAGCTTTGCTCTGGACTGGAAGGTGACTTTGGGCTTAGGACAATGACTTGTCTCTGTGCCTTCAGGGGAAGGGGAAGCTGAAAGAGTTAAATTAGGTGTCAGGGGTATCTGCACTTCAGTGAGTATGCAGCTGCAGGAAAAGGTAAACAGGTGAGGGGCAGTGAGAAACGCCGACAAAGGCCAGAGATAGCAGGCCGCATCTTGCTTTTTGTTACTTGCTGGGACTCCAAGTAAGGAGTCAATTTGTAAAATAACAGCAGTGTGTGTGTGTGTGTGTGTGTGTGTGTGTGTGTGTGTGTGTGTGTGATCCACACGGGCATTGTGGAGGAATGCGAGGGCACAGGTGTTCCTCCCATTCTGGTACCTCATGGCTTTCATGAATTAAAAAAAAGTAGCAAACAAATTGCTAAAGGAAAATGAAATGGTTTATAGTTTGGCAAAACTGGAGGGTGGGGTGGGGAGACAGACTCACACGAGTCTCTCTTTTATGTGGTGGTGTTACAATTTTACAGGGAAGACGAAGGAAAATCCACCAAATGTGCATGAATACATTTCCACTCTTTGCAGGCCACTGTTTCAATAGGCTGCTAACTGAAGGGAGGACAAGGTGCCTCTCTTTAAAATAGGTCCTTTTTTTTTTTTTGCCATGATTGCCTTTATCAGGATTAGAGGCTGGGACACTTTCAGATCAAACAGCTTAGGTTTGGCCACCCATCCCCAGCAGGGTAATTATCTAAATAAACAAACTCCGGGGAAAACAGATGGAAAGAATGTATTGTGTGCTGCCACACTGGGAGCACAGAAGGGGTCTAGCGACCATCTTCTCTCCCAACACCCAGGCCATTTTCTAGGTCTTGACACGAGGTTCAGGTTTAAGTAGAGGCCTGCAGTCATACAGAACTAAACAGCCTGGTCAGGGCTTTGTCCCACCCATCATGATCTGTCACTGTTTCCTGCAAGGTGGCCTAGCAAGTTGTCAGAAGGATGTGAAATCTCTTTCCAGGAGACAAACTCCTTCTATGACTGACACTGTGGGTCAGTCCTTTGTCCTGCTCTCAGCATGAGACTCCTGAGGAGATTTCGGTTTCTCAGGGTCCATTATTTCAATAGCCTCTTAGGGAAGAGCGCAAGTGTCTCTTGCGAACATCTTTATTCCCGCTAGGGTGGTTGCACTACCAAGGCCATGGTCACAACTCCTCTCTCTAATATCACCTTTTGGTGAACAATATTAGTTCTATTTTGATAACTAAATACCAATATACATTTATATTTAAAACATCCAATCTATAATATTATAATGAGTTATATTATCTAGTAGGAACGGCAGCAAAAACAACAGAACAGCCCATCTCAACATTACAAAATATATGTATAATTCATACAGAACAGAGTCCAGGAGCCATATAAAAGTGTCTTCACACACAGGTCAGCTCTTTAAATTATTTTGACCTTTTAAATTTACATTTTAAGTACACCTAGCATAAAGCAGTATTTACCTAGATCATATTTAGCAATTGAATCCCCTTTTAAGTGTAATATACTATCTATCTCTTCTTAAGATCTAATAGCATAGTCCTTTATCTATTACATATAGAATAATATAAAATCCTACCCACATCCAGAATGTTATTCTATGTCTGAGATAGGGCCTCTCCTAATCTCATCACAAAAGGGAGATTTTCATAAAGATCATTAGGGAATATAGTAGCTAGAACGATCCTTCTAGGTGTCCAAATTATTCAGGGACTTCATCCAGCATGCATAGGAAAAACCAAAAACTTACGGTGCCCTTTGAGATCCTACATCAACCTGACCCCTTAAAATTTCTGTCTCCATATTTACACTGTTGCCTGCCGTCCCCCCCCCCCCCTTAGCCTTTGCTCGAACACAGCAGGCACACTTTTGAGGTGCTATCTCTCCACAGGCTGCCCCTTCTACCTGGGATACTGTACCTTCAAATAGATGCCTAGCTAAAGCCAGGACACAGCATGTAGGTTGTGGCAGTGACAAGAAAGGATTCTGGGGTGTTATTCCCCCCACTCCACATGCACATTAATGGAATTCCAGCACAAATACGTGGACCTATTGAATGTCTCAAGAATGTGGCACGCTCCAGGATCCTTGATGAAGATCACTCACTGTGCCCCAGTCCTTAGACTGGGCATCAGGATGGAATTTTTATTTTTACAGAATGAGGCCTTTTTTCCTATTTTGGGCTTGTTTGTTTTGTCACACTTCTCAAGTCAAATCTTTGGACTTCTTAGGGAAACACAAGAGAAACCCACTCTCCCCTCCCCACCCCCACCATGCTGAGCACCCTTAGGGCATCGGTTCCCAAGTGTTTTACTGAGTGAGTCTTTCCTACTGGGTAGCACACAATGGGTGGGAAGAGCCATCTTTCCCTATTTAGCATATTTTATTAGCCATAGGAGTGTGGCTTCATAACCTCAACACTGAAACCTTTCAGTTCCCAGAGCTTAAAGGGGACTCACCCTACACGCTAGTCACAAGTTTGCTACCAGGCTCCTTTTCACAAGGAAACTCACTTGCCTCTTGTGGATCTGCAGACCTAAGCTGACCTGGGGTGTCAGCACCATGCTCAGGATTATGAGTCAGATTTTTGCCTTCTTCAGGAGGAGGAAGATAGACTCCCAGGAAAAGGAGCGAGCGCACCGTCAAGGTATTCCTTTTTTTTTTTTTTTTTTTTTTCGAGACAGGGTTTCTCTGTGTAGCTTTGTGCCTTTCCTGGAACTCACTTGGTAGCCCAGGCTGGCCTCGAACTCACAGAGATCCGCCTGGCTCTGCCTCCCGAGTGCTGGGATTAAAGGCGTGCGCCACCACGCCCGGCAAGGTATTCCTTTTTATCTCCTTATCCACTACTCAAAAAGCATTGGAGCTTAAGGAGACCGGAATGGCTGGGAGAGACTGTTGTTCCCATCTGGAATGGCCATTCTGGGGACATTGTCCCTCACAGAGGGCATGGAGGGTGATGAGAACAGCCTCCTCTTTGGTCAGTAGCAGTTGTCCCTTAGGGACTCCCCGTACACAGACAAAATAATACCATTTAACCTGTGCAAGGCATGCACATTTCCAGGGAGTGGACATGTATTCATCAGTTAGTGTGCGCAGTGGGAAGAAGCAGATACTCTGAGCACCCTTGGTTTAGCAGCTATAAGATGCTCAGGAAGGTTTAGAAGTGAGCTACACGGTTGATCTGTGATCTGATGCAACACTGCACAGTCACACAGCCTGAATAAGAGATCCTCAGAGTACAGAGGGATCTAGCTTCCCAGGAGCGCTTATAACCTAAGCAATTTGGATCCCAGCTTCATGCTCTTGACCATGGCCTTCCACTGTGTGTGGTTTCGAGGGGACTGTGCTTTATAGAAAAGAAGGGCACAAGCAGGATTTGAACTTGTTTACTCTACCTCCAGAATCCCACACAGATCGCCATTGTGCCCAGCTGTCTATCTTGTGGTTCAAAAATCAGAGCCATTCTGTTTCTAGGAGATAATTGTTTACCACGTGTTTCTCTAGTAAGGATTGTTTGCTACAAGTGTTACTGGCTTTTCAGATTACTAAACAGAACCTGTTGTTTGCCTCTCTTATAGGTGAGGGCAACTTCAAATCTGTGCAGGGTGTTGTGACAAGTTATTCTGGTAATTATGGCTGGATTGAATCACTTATATCCTCTGATGCTGAGGTCTTGACTGGTGATGTGCCCCTGAGAGTTCAGCAAACAGTTACTACCCATGTGGAATTTCAAAACACCGGTGGATTGAAAGCTACTAAAGTAAGATCTGCACGAATTTGATACTGCATGATACTTTCCTTTCTTAGCGCATTTCAGTATTATTTCTATTTTTAATTCAACCATTTAAATGTGAGCTCTATAGTGTACCTCCAGGGTTTTGAAGTTCTTCACCCTTGAAATTTTAGGTACCCCCCCCCACTTTTCTTATGTATTTTGAGACAATGAACTAACGAGATCCTCCTGCCTCCCCAAGTGCTAGGATTAAAGCCATATACCACCACATCTGTACCTTCAAATAGATGCCTAGCTAAAGCCAGGACACAGCATGTAGGTTGTGCCGGTGACAAGAAAGGATTCTGGGGTGTTATTCCCCCCACTCCACATGCACATTAGTGGAATTCTGCGATAAATGATAAATCTGCGACCTCTTTTCTAATAGTTGTAGTGATCGCTGTATAAAAAAAATGCAAGAAAGACAGGGTCTCACATTGTAGCTCAGGCACACTTGAAATTCACTTCCTAGCTTTGAGCTCATGATTTTTTGACCTCTGCCTCCAGAGTGCTGGGATTATAGGCATGTGCCTGGAGTAAAAAGTGTAAGGAAGAGTCCCAGCATGCAGCTGGAGACAGCACCTCACAATCACACGGCCTGAATAAGAGATCCTCAGAGTACAGAGAGATCTAGCTTCCCAGGAGTTTTCTGTGATGGTTCTGTGGTGGGCTGTGACCCAGGGCAGATCTTTGTGATTTTATTGTGGGCTGCTCTCCAAGGTGGATGGAGACCTGCTGCTAGGGCCTTGGCCTCGCCACTAAGCTGGATGGCAGTTTAGAAAGTTGGGTGGCCAGTGAAATCTTTAAATGAATTTTGTCAGTGCTTGAAGCACAGTGCCTTGTAAACCATCACGTCATGCATAAGTAGAATCTTGCAGTGTGATGCATGCTCATTCTCCCGCAGGATGCATGTTTAAATGTTTTTGTTTTTGGTTTTTTTTTTTGAAAGACAATTTTTTTTTCGAGACAAGGTTTCTCTATGTAGTTTTGGTGCCTGTCCTGGATCTTGTTCTGTAGACCAGGCTGGCCTCGAACTCACAGAGATCTGCCTGGCTCTGCCTTCCCTTCCGAGTGCTGGGATTAAAGGCGTGTGCCACTGCCACCCTGCAAGACAAACTCTTGCTCTGTTGTCCAAGCTACCCTTGAACTAACTGAGTTCAAGTGATCCTTCAGCCTCAGTCTCCTGGTACCTGGGACCTCAGGATTTCATTGAACACAAAGAAAAACACCTGGTTTGAAGCATTTCTTGAAGAACTCCTTTGGGGTACATATCAGATATTTGCATTACGATTCATAGCAGTGGCAAAGTTACAGTTACGAAGTAGCAATGAAAGAACTGTATGGTTAGGGTCAGCACAGCATGGGGAACTGTAAAAAAGGGTCGCAGCATTAGGAAGGCTAAGAAGCACTGTTTTAAGGACCCGAGTTTACTGTTTTGGTCCTATTTCCAGCGCTTGTTTCCTTGTGCTATAGGTGGATGTTGTCCCTGACAAATCTGCGACCACCAGTCCATCATCCCATGAATCCAGAGCTTTAGTTGGTCATGTTACCTGTGTAAAGAAAACTATGGTGTATGTTGAAAACAAAATTTCTTTCTCTATCAGCCGTGTGATTGAAGGTATGGTTTATATGTCAAAGGACACAATGCATAATATTTTGGTAATATTTTAGCACTGGAATTGTTTCTACCTTTGGTGCCATTCAGTGGCTCTTTGCTATCTGAGCTGGGCTTTGGAAGGGAAGGTGCAATACAGAGATGAGAGAGCAAGTATTTGTCAAGTTCATGCTATCGTTCATTACATACCCATCAGTCAACTGTGGTCAATAACGTCTGCTCAGTCTCTCAAAGTCAACCATTCTGCCATTCATGTATATAATTGCCTATAATAAAAGATTTGTATTTGATATATGTGACTAGAGAGACCATTCTAAAATAGACTTACAATGAGGATAGGTAAGATGCTGTAGTGGGCTACGATATGCCTGACCTCGCAAGCCCAATGACCTGAGTTACATCCCCGGGACCCACATAAATGTGGAAGGAAAGAAACACTCTACAGACCTCTGACTTTCACACCTGGATGGTAGCATGACAGCCCTATTAAACACACAATGAAAAACACCTTTAAGTAGTGAAAATGCTTCGAAATAAGATGAGGGAATGGGCTTAGGGTTTTCTGTGTGTACTGTGTGTCTACTGTTGAATTCGATTTGTAATTAGCAGATTTTCTGAGATTTTGTTTATATCCAGAACTATAGTTTGTGTGTTTTCACTCTAATGCAGTTGACACGTAGTTGGAATAAAAGAAGCAGCAGAATCAGCGTAGCCTCAACCAGGCAACTTGCAAGTTTTCCTACTGTGGGTGTAAATGCTGTTGTGAAATGTTGACTCTTCTTTGTGGATGATGCACTGTATTCGACAAAGGTAGAGTTAGGAAATGATGTGACACTCCTGGCCAAAGACCCTTGAGGACTCTCGATGCTGGACATATTTTGAAGTTAGTAATAAATATTGGATAGATTTGGAGCTTTGTGTAAAGGAGGAGTCCCGGGTAACTCTAGAACTTTCAAATGTGTCTCCTTATAGCTTTACTTAGGTATTCTTGACAATTGTAAGTACTTAGCATTTTCCATGTGGCATTTGGAGTTGTACATACATCGTGAAATAATTAACAGACTCCAGCTGTCTGTATAGCCTCAGCCTAAAGTAGTTAGTTATTTTGTGTGTGGTGGGAACACATGAGAGCCATGTCTTCAGTCAATTTAAACTATTACTATTAACAATAGTCGCCATGCTTCTAATTTGCTTCAGTACTTAGCTTATGTCTGGAAGTTTCTAGACTTGGTGATTGTCTTGGGGATGTCTGGTCCTTGTCAGGGGGCTTCTGGAGCCCTGTGCAGAGCTTGCCAATGGGAACACAGTAGCTCCTGCTATGTGGCAGAGACTGATGGTCCCACGCGCTCTCTTCGTTCCCAATCCTTTTCCAGCACCTCAGCTGGTCTTTTCCCAGAATCCTACACGGTGAAACAGAAGCAGTCATTTAAGCAGGGTTTCCCAATAGCTAGGGATACTAATATTCACTCTTCTCTCCTTTCCTTTAGAGGGGAACCTAGGACTTAGGGAAGTGCCTCTGCACACCGAGAAGTGTCTGCTTGGAGGGTGGAATTAGGCAAAAGGATGCTTTAATTTCTGCTTTGGGCACACGTTTTGTTTTGTTTTTTTCTCCTGCTGCTGCGCTGCTGCAGCTTTTTTACGTGAACTCCCACACGCTTTCACTTCACAGCTGGTTCTGCTACTGGCTGTCTGTACAATAGGTGCCTGTGGGAGGCCAGAAAGCTGAGGTCTACTGTGGAGTCCCGCATGGGTCCTCTTTGCCGCCTGTGACTGCAGGTTTTCACTTGAGCCAGAGTAAGGATGGAGCCACTGGTCTGAGCTGTCGAAGGAAGACTCATGGCCAGTTGGGCGAGAAGAGAGACAGCGGGTGGGGCTTTACACAGCTGGGTCTGCACAGGCCCTCGGATAGCAGAGGGTGGGTTTGGTTAGACCTGGAGGCACGTACGTTTTGAAACTGTCATCCCAACAGGTAATACATGAAGCCACACGCAGCAAAGAAATGAATTCAGATGAGAGAAAAAATGAGTGAGAAAGCTCTGTCAAGTCCACATTTCTGGTTCTGTGGTAATCAAGTGTTCGACTAATTCAGTAGTGCATGTTAACTTAAGTGGGTGGCTAGACAACACTCTCAGCTGCAGGAGTTGGGATTTCCAGTTACTGTAGATACCTTGTTATCCTGGGACTTTTAAAATTTTACTTTTATTTCATGTGCATTGCTGTTTGCCTGCATGTATGTCTATGTGAGGGTATTGGATCCCCTGGAACTGGTGTTACAGACAATTGCGAGCTGCCATGTAGGTGCTGGGAATTGAACCCATGTCCTCTGGAAGAGCAACCAGTGCTCTCAACCACTGAGCCATCTTTCCAAGTCCTCTTATGTTTAAACCTTTGTTGAAAACAGTTTTATTTCTCACATAATATATCATTATTACAGTTCCCCCACTCCCAGTTCCCCCCACCTCCCCTCCTATCTGGATCCACCCCCTTTTTGTCTCATTAGGAAACAAACAGGCTTCTAAAGGATTTGAATAGAATAGAGTAGAGTAGAATCAGACATCAGAATAGGACAAAACAGAAGGCAAGAGCCCAAGAGCAGATGCAGATGCAGAGACCCACTCACTCTCACACTCAGGAATCCCATTAAACCGCTAAACTGGAAGCCATAATGTAGACACAAAGGACCTATCAGGTAAAAGAGACAGAAGTAAGAGTGTGCATGTGTGTGTGTGTGTGAGTGTGTGTGTGTGTGTGTGTGTGTGTGTGTGTGTGTGTGTGTGTGTAAATAAGACAAGTTTAAAAAGACAGGGAAAGCCCTGGTGCAACATTATGAGACAAGGAACCTCCACAGATGCCATTGGGCTTGTTTTCTGTTGCCCAGCTACAGCTAGGCATGCATCCAAGCTTGAAGAGTAGTTAGTACCCCTAGTGAGACTCCCTTGGAGAAAATTGAATTTCATTTGCAAGTGATTATCAATCGGAGAATGCTCTGGATTAAGGATGGGGGCACGTGTCCATTTCCCCTCTCAGTGCTGGGACCCCGTCTTGTGTGGATCCATGCAGGCCCTGTGCATGCTGCCTCAGTCTCTGAATTAATATGTGTGTTGATGCTGAGGATTTTGTTTTCTTGGTGCCCTACATCCCTTAGGCAGAGTGTGCCAAGGTCTCTCACTCTCTGTAATGTCTGACTGACTGTGGCTCTCTGTATTTGTTCCTATCTGCTGCAGAAGGAAGTTTCTCTGATTATCCTGGGACTTTTTACTCAGCATAAAATCCTATTGAAAACTACATATTCACAACCATAAAATAGTGTGTGTGTGTATTCTGCATATAATATATATTTTATATGTTGCATTTATAGTCCTAGTCATCTTGCTTTTATATTTATGTTTTATATAACTAGAAAATATAACACATATTTAAGAGTTCTTCAGCTGACTCAGACACTTTTGGGAATATTAATTATTACCTTGACACTGTTTCCTAGCACAATTAACATACCTAAGTAGGAATCAATATGATCAGCATTCATGTGGTGGTGGTTGCCATATGGCAAGCATCTTTCTAGAAGATGTGTCCATAGTTGCCACTACAGGTGTGAGTCTAAGGACTGTGACTCTTCTCAGGTAAGGGAGCCCAGGCTCTGAAATGGCAAGTCCCTTCTCTGAGGTTTCAAAGTCTCTTTAACAAACTTTGAATACAGGTAGCAGGTTGAGACATGTACTCTTACCGGTCTCTCAGGATCTCAAACAAGTGTGAAATTAACTCTGTGGACAGTTGACACTTCCCATTTAACTATGAAGGAGGGGAGACTTAAAGTCTAAACTTTTGACCCTAGATGATTATAAATTCCCTTCTGGCAGAAGACTGATAAAGGGCATCTGTTAAGAGGTGTGCAAGAGATAATTTACATCGAATACAAACCACCAGGGGGAATTGCAAGTCACAGTAACTGCTGCGAAAGCAGAAAGAACCCCATTCACATTTTCCCAATGCTCCCTTAGGTTTTACGCCTTACAGAGGTGACTGGCTAGAAGTCGAGTATATCCAGCTTCGGTGGACCTCAAAACTCCATGTACTGTCAGCAAAGCCCATCAAAGTCAAGCACTTGCAAGAGGTGATCTGTTTGCATGTTGCACTTGACCTTAGTTTCCGAGAGTCTATGGGATGAGTCTTGTGGCCAGAAAATCTCTCAGGAGTGCCGGAAACCATGTCTTCTTTACCAAGAATTTCTTATAGAAATGGCAACACTTCCCAAAGGAAATGGTTTGGAAATAATACAGAAGATAGACATAAAATTGAGCTCCTAGTTACACAGTGTTTTTTGGAACATTAATCAATCATATTCTTAGCTGATCAGAAGAAAACCGTCATCCTACTGAAACTAGTTATGAAGAGAGGAGGGAGTAGCTTGTGGGGTCAGAGCTTGCCAGGAATAGCTAGCTGTTGTTTAGAGAATGGAAACTGACCATGGGTTCAACAATGAAGCAGATGAAATGATGTGTATAGGGGACCGAGGGGTCACTCAGTCAGTGAAATGCATCATGGGCAAGCATGGGGACCTGAGTGCAATTCCAATCACCTACATAAAAACAACAAAACTGACATGGCAGCCTACACTTGGAATCCCGTGGCTGTGGAGACAGAGAGGAAGATCCACGGGGCTTGCTAGCCAGCCAGTCTAGCTAATTGGCAAGCACCAGGTTCCATGAGAGACCCTGTCTCAAGAAGGTCACTAATTTGTGAGGGGCACCATCTAAGATTGCTCTCAGGCTTCTCGATGCATGCACACACATACTCATGATCCCATACACTGTAGGTGGGTACACATGAAATACACAAACACCTGACCCCCCCCCCACAATCTTGGAATGTGACAGGTGAGTGGGGAAAATAATCGTCATCTTACCCACCTTAATCCTTTCTCAGTCAATTCTTTCTGACCTCTTAACTTGGATTATGAAGGGTTAACAGCCACTTGGATTAATATTCAGAGCCACGGGGCACATTCTTCTCATTGGTGTGAGGGTGGGATTCAGTGGGGTGGGGTGGCTTATACAGCACCCAGGTACTGTCAGTGTTCCAGACAGGATGGGTACCAGGGATGGGAGGGAGTAGCAATCTGCTGGTTAGAGCCTACAAGTGCAGACTACCTTTCTCCATAAACTGTTCTGTCATACGTGTTTGCAGGTCTACATTACTTTCCTGGAGGGAAGACATGGAATGATAGAATACGCCATCTTTTTCACCTTGGATTCACTGAAGCTTCCTCCTGGATATGAGCCTAAAGTGGGTGATGTTGTGAACGTGACCATAGTGGAAAGTGTTCACCTTTCCTCTGTTTGGAGAGCAATTTCTATGAGCCCAGTGGAAAGATCATAAGAAAATATTTCTTTTTTCTTTTTTTCTTTCTTTCTTTTTTTTTGGTTTTTCAAGGGTTTCTCTATGTAACAGTCCTGGCTGTCCTGGAACTCACTCTGTAGCCCAGGCTGGCCTCGAACTCACAGAGATCCTCCTGGCTCTGCCTCCTGAGTGCTGGGATTAAAGGCATGCGCTACCACTTTTTGTTTAAGTTAAAAGAATACACTTATTATTTTTTTTTCATTTATTTTACATACCAACCGCTTAGTTCCCCCTCCCTCCTCTCTTCCTGTTCCCTCTCCCTATCTCCCTTCTATCCCCCCATCCACTCCTCTGTTCAGAAAGGGGCAGGCCTCCCATGGGCGTCAACATAGCATGGCACATGAAGTTGAGACAGAACTAAGCTCCTCCTGTTGAATGAAGACTGGGCAGGACATCCCTGCATAGGTTCCAAAAAGCCAGCTCCTGCACCTGGTCCCACTGCTAGGGGCCCCACAAACAGACCAAGCTACACAACTGTCACCCACATGCAGAGGGCCTAGGTCAGTCCCATGCAGGCTCTCTAGCTGTCGGTCTAGAGTCTGAGCTCCTATGAGCTCGGGTCAGCTGTCTCTGTGGGTTTCACCATTATGATCTTGACCTCCTTTGCTCCTGTAATCCCTCCTCCCTCTCTTCAGCTGGACTCCTGGAGCTCAGTCCAGTGCTTGGCTGTGGATCTCTGCATCTGCTTCTGTCAGTTACTGGATGAAGGATCTATGCTGACAGTTAGGGTAGTCACTAATCTGATTACTGAGGAAAGCCAGTTCAGGCATCCTCTCCACTGTTGCTAGGAGTCTTAGCTGGGTCATCCTTGTGGATTCCTGGGGATTTCCCTAGCACCAGGCTTCTCCCTATCCCCCGAAATGGCCCCCTCTATCAAGATGTATTTTTTGTTACACTCTCTCTCTGTCCCACCCCCAACTTGACCAACTGGATCCCTCAAATTCCCATTCCCTCTTCTCCCCCTCTCCCCAACCCTGCCCCAGTTTACCCAAGAGATCTCATCTGTCTCCCCTTCCCAGGGCGATCCATGCGTCCCTCTCAGGATCGATCCTCCTTATTACCTAGCATCTCTTGGGCTGTGGATTGTAGCCTGGTTATCCAATGCCTTACATCTAATATCCACTTATGAGTGAGTACATACCATGTTTGTCTTTCTAGGTCTAGGTTATCTCAGGATGATTTTTCTCTAGTCCATCCATTTACCTGCAAATTTCATGATGTCATTGATTGCTACTGCTGAGTAATGTAGCACATTATTAAGTATTAAGAAAACATTCCTATTCTTTGTTCCATGTTTCCCCCTCGGCTTTCTCTTTTGTTTCATTTCACATTTAATTTTTTTTTATTTGAGACAGCATCTCCTTGAGTCAAGGCTAGCCTCAAGCTCCCCATGTGGCCGAGGGTGACTTTCAACTTCTGGTCCTCTTTCCCTTCACCTGTCCATTGCTGAGATTATAAACATGTGCCACCAGGCCAGATTTATGAAGTGGTGGAGAGGAAAGCCAGGGCTTTACACATGCTAGGTAAATGCTATGCCAGCAGACTATCTCCCCAGCTCACATCGTGTTTTGTATGTGCAGGCAAATGTTTTAACGGAAACATTTAAACACTATTTTGACATCCACAGGTAAATTCTATTGAGATACTACATAAGGACAGACATGGTAGCACACATGTATTATCCCAACACTTGCAAAAGAATAGCCTTGAGAATTTGAGAGCAGCATGAACCATATAGAACTTGTCCCCCTAAAATAAAAAAAAATCCCATTAAGCCATTCTTTTTGGACCATGAGTCAAAACCCAGGGTCATGTGTCTACTGGACAAATACTCCATCATTGAACAAAATCTTTGCCCTTTTTTGTTACTTTCCCTTTTGAGAACAGTCTGTTGCCCTGAGTGACTTTGACACACGCCTGCATCTCCATGGCCAGCCATCAGCCCACATTAAGAAAGGTGCTAACACTGGCTCCTGGTTGTGGCAAAGAAGCAACATTGCCATTTGGTTAAGTTCCTTCTTCTTTTTCACGGTCACCAGCCGCTTCCGTCATGGCAGCAACCTGATTTACTCCCAGGGAGCCTGCAAAGACAGATGTTTACCTCAAGACTGCCTCGCAGTTAGTAAGTGAAAAGGTACGACGGGAAGTGACAGGGCACCTTCAAGTTTTTAATCTCCTCATGCTAGATCCAAGATTTATTTGTTCACGGCATCTTTCATTTCCTATTTTGTGGCTTAATTGCCAACTATCTTGTTTATCCGTGACTTGTCTTCTGTAAGAATATATCCTTGGTAAAGATTGGTGACGGTGACTGCTGGATTTGAGGGGGGGGTATTCTTTAACCATCAGCAAACACTTAGAGCAATTGTCAATACTAGATCCACATTACATATTATTAAGATAGATCATCAAGCAGCGATAATTCTTTTGTTTTCTGAGACAGTTTCTCTGTGTAGCCCTGGCTGTCTTGGAACTCACTCTGTAGATGAAGCTGGCCTCAGAGCTGCTTGTCTCTGCCTCCTGAGTGGTGGGATTAAAGATATTTCTCAGTTTTTTTGTAAATGGAAATATGCCTTGTGTGGCGTACATCACTTATATGACCCATTTGGAAAGCAAATACAGCCTATTTGCAAATATGAATCCCCAGGCAACCCTAGAGTTCCATGCCACCAGGGGGCAGTGTTTACACATGGGGAAGGCCCACTCATTCCAGGGGTCTGGTTCTTGAGACTGCTCCCTTACAAGAGCACAACAGGACACGGGGTGACTGCCCTGGGGGAAGTGCTATTTAAAGTGTTTCCTTCAACACCGGACAATGGTTGGCTATGAACGGAAAGTCCAAGAATCCAGTAGTTGCTCAGTCCACGAGGCTGGGGGTCTCAGGTGATCTTCAGTGTATGCTGGGATCCGAAGAAGTAGGCTCCAATGCCAGTGAAGGAATTGTGCTGCAAGGTGAGGGCAAGCAGGAGAAGAGCAAGAGCTTCCTTCTTGCCTTGTCCTTATATTGGCTTCCAGAAGAAGGTGAGGCCCAGGTTAAAGGCGTGTCTCAAAATCAAATGTGTGTCTCCCTGCCTCAAAGGTCTGGACTAGAAATGAAACCACCCACTTCAAACCAAGCAAAAATCTCTCTCCCAGGTGTGCCCTCCATTTCTAGATTGTAGTTCATTCCAGATGTAGACAAGTTGACAACCAAGAATAGCCGTCACAGTTGCTCTCCAAAATCTTGCCTCAAAAAGCTGATGCCTAGTGCCATTGATTTAGAGGTAGTAGGACTATTTGGTTTGGGAATCACCTAGTGGGAGGTGACTGGATCAAGACCAGCCTCCTGAAGGGATTGATGATGGTCTCAGGAAGGGATTAGTTCCCATGAAAAAATAAGTTTTAAGAAATTGTGGCCAGGTGGTGGTGGCACACGCCTTTAATCCCAGCACTCCGAAGGCAGAGCCAGGCAGATCTCTTGAGTTCAAGGCCAGCCTGGTCTACATAGCTAGTTCCAGGACAGCCAGAGCTACACGGAGAAACCCTGTCTCAAAAGACCAAAAATTAAAAAAAAATTGTGCATGGCCCTACTGTGGCCAGGGTCTATGTTGATGTCTGAGGCTCCTGTTACTATCAAAGGCTGTGCAAAACACCTGAGGTCTGTGGCCATATTGGTGTCTGAGGGCCACGCTACCACTGGAGCCTGATCTGAGAGGTCTGCATTGCCACCAGGGGCAATGGTGACATCCAGACCCGGCTGCTGTTGGGGACTGTGTCTGGGTCCATAGTCCTAACGAAGCTAGGGTCTGTGCTGGAGTCCGAGTCCTGTATTGCCACCAAAGGTCACCTAGAAGTCCAGGGTCGGAGCTGCAACCTGAGGCCTTGGTGGTGTCCTAGGGCCATGCTGCCACCAGAACCATCCCAGCTTGAGTGGCCAGTGCTTTCTTCCACCCAGAGCCAGGATGTCATTTGGGCCCAAGCCGCTGCCCAGGACAATGTCTGAGCCAGTGGTCAAGCTGCAGCTGTGGTCTGTGTTGATATCTGTGGCCCATGTCACCTCAGGGGGGCATAGGAACCATGCAAGATGAAATCAGAAGGCCATGCTGAGTGGCCCCAGCCTTTGATGGCCCAGGGAAAGCTGGAATGCCCTTTCTGGACACTGAAGCAAGAGAGCTGGCCCCTGTACTCAGGAGAGATGGCCCCATCCCTAACCACAGTCAAGGGTGAATTGACCCTGATGTCATGGATGTATGGGAGCTTGCTCTGCCCCCTCACCTGAGGCAGATGGCCCTGGTGGCCTGGACTGACCAGCTACCACCCAGGCCCACACTAATATCTACCCCATCTAGGACCTGCTGGAGCTTGTGAGGGCACTGGTCCTGTGGAACAAGATGCCCACAGGATCTTTAAGCTGTGGGATATCCCAGGAGTTTGATGGTGAGGATCCAGTGATGAAGGTGTACCAGAAACCAGAGATCTTGAACCAGACCAGGGACTGATTGCAATGAACATTGGCAAGTAAGGCTGATTGGACAAAAGGCTATATACTGTGTGACACACTGAGGCTCCCAAGGCCACCACGGCGAATGAAGAGGTGTTGGAGAGACAGGAATGATGGAGAAGCAAAGAGGTGTTTTTGTTTTGTTTTTATTTTTGTTTTGTTTTGTTCCTGTTTTTGTTTGTTTGCTTGCTTGCTTTGTTTTGGTTTGGTTTAATTTTTTAGATTTTCTTTTGTGTGTGGGGTGCTGCAGGGACAAAGGGAGAATATTGGGGGACTGGGAGGGGAGTGGAATTGGGGTGCATGATGTGAAACTCCCAAAGAATCAAGAAGTTAAATTTTCAAAAAAAGAAAAGAAATTGTGAGAGTGCTTTCCCTTCCCAGATCTCTTGCGTGCAGATTGTATGTTTTCTACGTGTAATGCTATCCATTCTGAGTCCGCAGCAGCATCTATGCTAGCACCAGGCTCTTTTTTGCATTTGTGTATTTCTCCACATCCATA